CTCTCAGCCTGTCCTCATAGGAGAGGTGCTCCAGCCCTCGGATCATTTTTGTAGCCCTCCTCTGGACCCGCTCCAACAGTTCCATGTCCTTCTTGTGCTGATAGATTTCAGCACCAAGAGGCATAACACAGCTTCTAGGAGCAGCCCTGAGGCAGAAGAGCCTTCCAGACAGATACCGAATTGCCACGATGGTGTAGAGGGTTGGTGGTGGTGGCAAGTGGGGTTTATTTCCATGTTGCAGTCCAACATGGTGGCAGCCCAAATTTATCAAGCAGATGTCAATCTTGCTGAGATTTACTCTTGAAGCAAAGTCAGCCTTGCAAAAAAACCTATCTTAAGTGGAGGGAGACTTGCTACCATTGGAATATATGTACAGGAACTACCTGAACTGTGTCGCCACCGATGCTTCGTTACTTGCTCTTCCTTGGGATGAGATGGCATCACGGCTGAATGACTTTGGGGAATGCCAGGTTTCCAGTAAGTCTCCCAAACCCCATTTATTTATATTATAACATTTATTTATATTATAGCATTACGATACATTATAAATATATAAATAATTACATTATTTATATTATAAGATAAATAGTCAGAGTTGCAAGTGCCAGAATTTCATCGCAGAGCATGAATTCTATTTGTCGAATAGCTCAGTAACTGGGCACTGCAGCCTGTGAAGATTATAGCTTGGGCTTTCAGACGTAAGAGCATGTTTTTCAGGGCTGGTGCGTGGTGAGCCGGGATGTCCCAGTGGTTAGTTGGCACGTTAGCTTGAGACTATGATTGAAGTTCGTGCTGTGCAGATTTTCTCTGTGGCTGTAGATGGATCACTTGCTCTTTCTGGGCCTCATTTCTCTAGCTATAAACATGCAAATAATAGCAATTTACAGATGTATTAAGGGAGAGATGCATTAATGAATGTGACACGCTGAAGTCTCACGGACAAATGACTGAATTGCAAGACAGGTGGAACACCAATAATGCTGTTTCTACCAACACAATTTTTTAAAATTGGATTCTAACAATGATGGGATTTCTCCATGGTGTTCCTTACATGTTTAAGTTAAGTAAGCGTAATAAAGATCAAATAAAGCCTGAGATGTATAAGCAGTTTGAATCTTTTTTTTTACTCTGTTTTCAAGAAAATGACTGGCAATACAATATTAACCCAGTCATCACAGCCTTCTATGAGAGACAAGATTAACTTCTGCTTCAAGGAAGAAGAGAAACATGTTTTTTGTCAAATACTTGTAAAATCATCTTGAAATATTACACAGACAAAAAAAGCTACATACCCAGCTATGGTCCTTTGTTTCTTGGCAGAGTACCTGGAATGTGGAGGGAAATGGCTTTTGTAATAAAAGAACATGTTATGGGATAAGTGTTTCCCAAGCAATTACGTTGTTTTGCAGTAATGCTTTCATGAAAGATAATCTGATGAAATTCTTTGGTCAGGAGCCTCTTTTTAATTAAATACCTTAAGGCCAGCTCTAAAAGATAAAACATTTAGCTCATTTGGTTTTAATGGCTCTCAGTAAACACTGAATGATTTATGTGGTCAAAGAAGCTGAATTTGTGAATAAATCCTAACTCATCCCAGCCTGAGTCTATGGTTGGGCAGAGGGGTCATGAAGTGAGTTAAGGGGACTGTCTCTGCTGCACAGACCTCTGGAGGCTGGGCAAGTCCTATACCTGCTTGCCCTGCCCCTACGCTCCCCTATAGACATCTGGTATAGGACAGTTTCAGATTGGCCATTGGTCTGACGCACTGCAGCTATTCTTATGCTGCTACGTTTAAGCTCCCTAGAGCTTTATCTTTTGCATACTCAGCAGTCTTTTGGGTCCCAGACACAATGAGAGTCCGAGCGTGCTCTCCAGCAATGTTCATGCCCTAGCGCTGACGGAGGGCAGCTGAACTTATTGGAGAGGCCAGTCAATGGTCTAGGTTGCCTACATCTCAGATGGAAAGGGGGCTCCAAATTTATAGATCTACATTAGACCTACACATATATATATAAAATACATTTACATATATATACATAATACATTTGAAGGTTCATCACACAGATTAAATGCATACCTGAGTTAAGACACACAGAGCCCGCAAAGGGCGCTCTAGGAACGAGTGTTTGGAGATTTTAATACAGCATTATTAGGCATGGCCAACAGAGGCAGCTGTTCGGGCAGCGGTCTCTATTTTCTGCTTTGGGAGCTTCTGGACCTTCTGGGGACCAGGTCCAGGATTATCAGGGAACGCCTGGGAACCCTCTGAGAAACTGGAAGGTGCCTGCTGCTGCCAGACAAGGACGAGGGAAGGGGAGCCACCAGGGCATGGGCCCGAGGAAGCTCTAGCAGCTTCTAACGAGCATGACCGGCTGCCCTTGATCCAGGGTGCCTGGAGGCTTTGTTGCAGCTGCCCCCAGTTAGGGAGAGTGCAGCACCCTTTAGCCCGTGCTCAGGAGAGGACTATATAAGAGCCATGGCCCACAGCACAGCTCCCTGAGGCAGCATTTTGTGCAGCAGGGCATAGAGAAGGTGGGGCATAACTGAATTGTACTGTTGTGACAGCCTCAGTTATGGTGGTGACATGCCACTGGGCCATCTGCCCAGCAGATGTTGGACCAGCTGTTGCAGCTAGAGCAGAGGCTTTGATGCGGACTGAACTCTGGGTGGGAGGTGCAACCCTCCAAGTCCTGGGCTGCAGGGAGTGCCTGGGGCTTCTCTCCAGTGCCCAGAGAGATGGCCTGCTGTCCCATAGGATGTGTGCTGTCTTGGAGGAACTGTGCTGCCAAGTAGAGGAGTTACAGGAGGAAGTGAGCAGGCTGTACAGCATCAGAGAGGATGAAAAGGGAGATAGATGGGGTCTTATCTGAGATGCATCAGGTGGGCCTGAAGAGCCCCTCCCCAGCTGCAGCAGAGAAGCAGGCAGTGTCCACCCTTAACATTAAGGTAAGTGCAGCTGCTGGAGAAGGATGGAAGCTGGTGACTTCTGGCACCAAGAAAAAGGCTCCTGCCCCACTGAAGGGTTTACAACTGCAAAATAGGTTCACCGCCCTCAAAGTTGAAGAGAAGCCAGATGCCTTCAAGCAAAGGATGTGGTCCACCTTACCTGAAGCCATGCAAAGACCACCTGAAAGAAAAAGTGAGTCCATGCAATGGGTGACTCCCTGCTGCAGGAGATAGAAGCACCTGTCTGACAACCTGACATATCATCAAGAAAGGTTTTCTGCCTGCTGGGGGCCAGGACTGGGGACGTTTTGGAGGGACTGCTGAAGCTCATCCAACCCTCTGCTCACTATCCCCTGCTGTTATTCCATGTGGACACAAATTATACCACCATGGAAACCTGGCACAAAAGTGACTACAGAGCTCTAGGAGCAGTAGTCAAGGGTGTAGGGGCCTTGGTGGTGGTGTTGAACATCCTTCCCATAAGGGTAAAGGGTGTGAAGAGGAAGACACTGATAGTACAGGTCAATAATGATTCTATGAATAACTGGCTGCAGAGCTGGTGTTGGTGACTGTTTTGGGTTCTGTAACCATGGGTTCAGCATCTCCTTGGGAGAGATGGGATCCGCCTCACTAAGCAGGGCAAAGCTACTTTCACCAGTAAGATGGCAGACCTCATAAGAAAGGCTTTAAACTAAGAATGGCAGGGGATGGAGAGAGTAACCAGAAATCTTGAGGGAGTGCCGGACAGGGTCAATGGGCAAAGGGCATGGGGTGATGTGACAGGAATGGAACACAAAATCAAGAAAATGGGGTTTAAGTGGAGTCACCTTCAGCACTCAAAGGTAAGCAAGGAAGTGCCTATGTGAGGCACTATTATGGAGAAATACCCTAAACCCTCTCCAGAAACTCAACCTGCTGAGGTGCTTCTCTAAAGTGCTTGTATAACAATGTGCACTGTATGGGGCATAAACATGATGAGTTGGAGCTCTGTGTGCAGTTGCAGGGCTACAATCATCCTGGAATCATGGAGATGTGGTGGGAGTGTTGTAATGGGGGGGAGGATCCTGGCTCCTTTAAGCAGGCTGGGAAGATCATAGAATCATAGAAAGTTTTGGGTCGGAAGGGACCCCTAGAGGTCATCTAGTCCAACCACCCCCCTGCAGCGAGCAGGGACACCGCTAACTAGATCAGGTTGCTCAGAGCCCTGTCCAACCTGGTCTTGAATATTTCCAAGATGAGGAAGGGGAGTTGCTCTGTAAGTGAGAAAGCAACTGAAGGGCATGGAGCTCTGTCTGGGGATGGATGAAGAGCCAGCTGAGATCTTGTGGGTTAGGATTAAAGAGGAGAAGTAAAGGTGACATTATAGTCAGTGTCTGTTACAGGCTGTCAGACAACGGAGAACAAGTCGATGAGGCCCTCTACAGACAGTTAAGAGCAGACTTGTGTTTGCAGGCCCTGATCCACATGGGGGACTTCAACCACACCCTGAAATCCACTGGAGAAACAGCAGGACGTAAGCAATCAAGAAGGTTCTTTGAGTGCATTGACAGTAACTTCCCCATCCAAGTGAGAGAACCGATAAGGAGAGATGCTTTGCTGGGCCTCATACTTGCCAATGAAGGGGTTGTTGGGAATGTGAAAGCAAAAGGCAGCCTTGGATGCAGTGACCATGAAATGGTGGAGATCAGGATCCTGAGGGCAGGAAGGAAAGTGAAAAGCAAGCTCACAATCCTGGACTCCAGGGGAGTGGACTTTGGCCTCTTTGAACATCTGCTTTGGAGAGTTCTGTGGGATAAGGCCCTAGAGAAAAGGGGGCCCAAGAAAGTTGGTTAATCTTCAAGGATTGCCTCTGAGCTCAAGAGCAGTCCATGCCAATGAATAGGGAGTCAAATAAAAATGCCAGGAAGCCTGCACAGGTGAACAAAGACCTCCTAGCTAAACTCAAACATAAAAAGGAAGCACACAGAGGGTGAAAAGAAGGATGGGTAACCTGGGAGGAACACAAAGACGTTGTCCAAGCATCTGGGAATGAAGTTAGGAAAGCTAAAGCCCCAATGGAATTAAATTTGGCCACAGACGTGAAAAACACCAAAAGGGGCTTCTACAAATGCATAGGTGACAACAGGAAGACTATGCAAAATGTGGGCCCATGGCGCAGCAAGACTGGGGACCTGGTTACACAGGATATGGAAAAGGCTGAGGTACTGAGTACCACCTTAGCCTCAGTCTTTACTAGCAAGACTGGTCTTCAGGAGTCCCAGAGACCAGGAGGAAAGTCTGGAGCAAGGCAGATATACCCTTTGTGGAAGAAGGTCAGGGAATACTTAAGCAAACCAGTCACATATAAGTCCATGGGCCCTGACAGGAGGCACCCAAGAGTGCTGAGGAAGGTGGTAGATGTCATTGTGAGGCCACTCTCAATCTTTGATCAATCATGGTGACTGGGAGAAGTGCCTGAAGATTGGATGAAAGCGAATGTCCCTCTTATCTGCAAGAAGGAGGAACCAGAGAACTACAGGCTGGCAGCCTCACCTGAATCCCTGGGAAGGTGTTGGAACAGCTAATCCTGGAAATCATTTCCAGGCACACAAAGGACAAGGTGGTCATCAGGAGTAGTCAGCATGGCTTCGCTAAGGGGAAATCATGCTTGAACAACTTGATAAACTTCTGTGATGAAATAACTGGTCATGGTAGATAAGGGTAGAACAGTGGATATTGTTTACCTAGACTTCAGTAAGGCTCTCAATGCTGTCTGCTGAAAGATCCTCACAGAGAAGCTGATGAAGTATGGGCTGATTGAGCAGACAATAAGGTGGACTGGAAAGTGGCTGAATGGCTGGGCCTGGGAAGAGATCAGTGGCATGAAGTCTAGCTGAAGGCCAGTAGTTAGTGATATAATACTGGGTCAAATCCAGCTCAACATCATTATTAACGATAAGGGTAATGGGGCAGAGTGCAGATGACACCAAACTGGGAGGAGTGGCTGATATGCCAGAGGGTTGTGCTGCCATCCAGAGGGAGTGTGACAGGCTGGAGTACTGGGCTAACAGGATCCTCAAGAAGTTCAACAAGGGTAAGTGTGAATTCCCGCACTTTGAGGAGGAGGAACACCACCATGCACTGATATATGCTGGGGGCCATGCAGCTGGCAAGTAGACTTGCAGAAAAGGACCTGGGGGTCCTGGTGGACACAAAGTTGAACATGAGCCAGCAATGTGTCCATGTTTCAAAGAAGGCAAATGGTATCCTGGGCTGCATCATCAGCAGGTTGAGGGAGGTGATCCTTCCCCTCTACTCAGCACTGGTGAAGCCACACATGGAGCACTGTGTCCAGTTCCAGGCTTCTCTGTACAAAAGAGGCATAAACGTACTAAAGAGGGTGCAGCAAAGGTCTACAAAGATGATTAGGGTACTAGAGCAACTCTCCCATAAGAGGAAAGGTGGCATGAGGTTGGACTTTTCAACCTGGAGAACAGAAGGCTCAGGAGGATCTTATCAACATGTATATAAATATCTGAAGGGAGGGTGCAAAGAAGACGGACCCAGGCTCTTTTCAGTGGTGCCAGTGACAGGACAAGAGGCAATGGGTGCAAACTGAAATGCAGGAGAAGCCATCTGAACATCAGGAAACACTTCTACTGTGAGGGTGACCAGACACTGGCACAGGTTGCCTGGAGAGGTTGTGGGGTCTCTGTTGCTGGAGATAATCAAAAGCTGTCTGGACATGGTCCTGGGCAGCTGGCTCTAGATGACCCTGTTTTGATCGGGGATTGGACCAGATTATCTCTAGAGGTCCCTTCCAACCTCAACCCTTGTGTGATTCTTCCCGTTACTGCCACAGCGCTTTCTGATGGCAAGACTAGGCATCTATTGCACGTTACCATGGTATTTCACACTTAGATTTCCCTTCAAATTTTGGTTGCATTAGAAAAGTAAATTTGCAGAGTGCTACCTTGAGACAACAATCTAATGAGGATATGCTAGTTACAGATGGAGCTGTCTGAGCCCATTAGTTGTAGAGGATCGTGTTTGAAAAACTGTCCTTACAGCACTAAAAAAACCCCTTTGTCTGATTATGGCACAAGCTGAGAGACTAACACAGAGGTGTAGCCTCATACGTAATGTGTCATAGATGGCCACACTGCATCCAATGGGCAACCACTCAGGAGCTCTAGTGGTTTGGCCTCTGTTAGAAGAGCTATGGACTCCATCTTATGGTGTTATACATGTAATTTTAATTAATTCAGCAGCTGGAAAGGAGAATTACATTATGCATGGCTAACTTAGCATGCTGGCTGTGCACACACTGATCCTGAAAAGAGGTGGCCATATTGTCAATGGTACAGTGAGTTTACTTTAATTTGGGGTTGACACATGGGCTCACCATCAGCAAATGGAGCCAAATCAGGAAAATATACTTCACCCAGAAACAAATGAAAAAAAAGATCCCACTTGGAGTACTGCATCCAGCTCTGGAGCCCCAAACATAAGGAGGACATGGATGTGTTGGAAACGGGTCCAGAGGAGGGCCACGAAGATGATCTGAGGACCGGAGTACCTCTCCTATGAGGACAGGCTGAGGGACTTGGGGCTGTTCAGTCTGGAGAAGAGAAGGCTCCGGGGTGACCTTCTAGCAGCCTTCCAGTACCTGAAGGGGGGGCCTACAGGAAGGATGGAGAGGGACTTTTCGCAAGGGTGTGCAGTGATAGGACAAGGGGGAATGGCTGTAAACTAAAAGAGGGCAGATTTAGATTAGATATTAGGAAGAAATTCTTCACCATGAGGGTGGTGAAACACTGGCACAGGTTGCCCAGAGAAGCTGTGGCTGCCCCCTCTCTGGAAGTGTTCAAGGCCAGGTTGGATGGAACGCTGAGCGACCTGGTCTAGTGGAAGGTGCCCCTGATCATGGCAGGGGGGTTGGAACGAGATAATCTTTAGGGTCTCTTCCAACCCTTGCCGATCTATGATTCTATGATATCTAAGGAAACACCAAAAGGAATTCCTCCTCCTCCCATGTCTCATTCTCCAGTCAAAAAGAACTTCTGCAAAATGAGGAGATACTAGGAAGACTTTTCGCTGTGAAATAATAAGAATCGAGATTATTGACACAACAAGAATTCAAAATTATTAGTTGAACTGTAGAGAAAGCAGCTCAGGATTCTGCAGAAAGAAAGATCCTGGCATGCTGTTTCTTTAGGGGTAAATTTAATTCTTCCCCATGAGGGTGGTGAGGCACTGGCACAGGCTGCCCAGAGAAGCTGTGGCTGCCCCCTCCCTGGCAGTGTTCAAGGCCAGGTGGGATGGAGCTCTGAGCAGCCTGGTCTGGTGGAAGGTGTCCCTGCTGATGGCAGGGGGGTTGGAACCAGATGATCTTTAAGGTCCCTTCCAACTCTTACCATTCTATGAAAATAATAAACTTTATCTGTTTTAAATCTAACTTCATATCACTATGTTTCAAAAGTTTTCTAAAGAGGAAAGAAATAGGTTTTGGGTCTTGTGTTCCATTGAAGGTCTGTTGCTTACAAGTATTGATGAAGTAATCCCCTCAGTAAATAAGAGTAAAGGAGGTATTCTGTTTCTTTGAAGGAAGTGAAGCAACCAACAGCAGAATGACTTCCCCCAGGTCACATGCCATATTTATGTTCCATTTAGAAATACAGATAAGACCTTTCCACTAGCTGCAAGCCGTCCTTTCCTGAAAGCTCCTTGAGAAAATTACATCTGCATTAGGAGCCAGGAAATTCTTTAATCTACCAAAGCTAAGTTTGTAGTGCAGAAGCAGACAAGGTTTGAATGCTGATAATAAGCAATCAGTGGCTCTCCATTTCTCCTGATCTTTGATGTCTTAAAACAGTTGACATGAAGTTTCTGATTAACGCGAGTATTCCAGGAGGCACTTAATAATCAAGCCCACTTGTGTTTTACTAAGCTTGAACAAATGTTCTGTGGTGTTGCTGCATCCTGAAAATGGTCACAGCCAGCAGGCCGACAGTCAAACCGGACAGTTTGGCTGAACTGCTGCAGTACTGCCATATTGCTAATGACCAATTTCCACAGCAGTGATTTTTCTTTCTGATGCTGCTAATTTTTCCCTTGATTCTTTCATAGCACTCTGGTTGTCTTTTAGGCACAATACTGACTTGCTAAAGTATGCTTAACAGTCTATAATGGCCATTTAAAGCATTCTTTTTCTTTTCCATAATTTTTACAATATGTTTAGGAGTAGAATACTGTGCATTGGATTAGAAAATGTGTGTGTCAAATTTGGGTATTAATTGCTCCTGGGAGTCTCAACGTTCATCTGTTTCAAGCCACAAGTTTCTCTTTGAAAGGCAGTCCTTTGCTGAATCTGTCCTTTCACTCTGTGTTGGATACGAACACCGATGCTCACAGAGCCACCAGTGCTCTTCCAGGGTAAAACAGTTGCTGTAAGTATCAGAAAAACGATCTTTTCCCAGCAAAGTCACAAGATGGGGATCTGCTCAGGCTGATCAAGGAAGAATTATGAGAAGTTGGTCTCCCATCAGGGACACGTGCAGCCATACCCATTGCTATTCCCCCAGTTCTGCAGAGAGGAGCTTGCTTGAATGGTTGTTCAAGGGGATGTGGTGCAGGTGCAAGCTTTCCTTCCGCTGTGCTTGGTGGGGGGAAGCCAAAGGGAGGGGGAAGAATGCCTAAATGTAGGCTTGTGTCCCAGATCTGGGAAGATGAGGCCTCCAGTCAGGGCAGTAGTGTGCTCAAGCACAGAGAGATGAGAGTGCTGCAGTGCACTGACACCCACAAGCAACGTCTGTGGCGGTCACTAAAACAGGTCAAGTCCTGTTTTCTGAGCCTAACTGGCCTGGTACAGTATGCGTGCATACAGTTCTTCCTTCCCACCCACGAGAGCCCCGTGGCTGCATCCAGACTGTTGCTGGGAGCAGTCCCCCGTTCACCTCTGTCCAGTGCCCAGGAGCTTTATGGCCAGGTGCTGGCTGGCACAGCCCCAGTGACATGTCAAGGACCCCACAGCAGCTCTGCAGGGCTGGTGCCTGGGGCTGGGTGGGTGACGGCCACAACTCTGCAGCTGGGGACACCGAGGCTGTGTGGGGATGGCAGTCTGGGAGCGGGCAGGGCAGCCAGCTGCAGAAGACCAAGCAGAGTGGGTTGATGAGGTGAATTAAATTGCTTGTTAAATTATTAACCTCCCCCTAAGAAAGTGCCTTTTAATAAGATGAAGAATGCCTATGTATTGCCTTTTTTACAGGGTTTTACTCTTCCAGATTTGTGCCACAGGTTAGGATAGCAAAGGAAACTTTGTAGTGCCTTTGACAATCCAGCTGCTTTCTGGGGAAATTCTGGCATAAAGCAAACTGTTAATAATACCATAATATGATCATCAATAATAATGAGTAGTGTAGTAGGCCATTATTATGCTATGCATAAGGCTTTTATTATGCATTCTATGTAACTCCTGCTAAAAGGGGTCTCCTGTCCTGAAGGATTTAAAGACTGAGGCTCTAGTCCTGTAATTCACAGTACACGAGTGCATTTCTCAACCTGCATGCAATGCCAACACAGTCAGTTGCATGAGAGCAGTCAGTCACAGGACTACAGCCATCCTAGAGCAGAAATGAAAACTGCCTGGGAGGATCCAGTGCTCGTTTTTTTAATTTAGCTAATATACTTTATTTTCTTGCAAAGTCGAGGCAGCGTTCACTTCAGGAAGAGCTGTGCAGTGTGGGGCAGCTCCAATAACTCACCGCGATTGCCACGTGAGTACTGTTGCAGCGAGTCTCTGTAAATGCCAGCAGGTCTCCTGGATATGCCGAGCCTTTCCCTTAATTTGGAAATGGTTATTTACAGCCGGCAACCACACCGAGAGTACAGAGAAATGAACAACTCGCTGACAGTGCCTGTAGCTTCTGCCCTCTGGCTGGACAGGCAGAAGCCCCTAAAGCACCAATCTTCCTAGTAGCCTGAAAATTGTCATTAGTAAATAATGACCATAATTTAGTAGTACCAGCTTTACTGCAGGATAAATGTCTAAGAGCAGGCGTGGGTTTTGTTCGTTCATGGTGGGTGACGTTGGTG